GAAGAACGGAATTTACAAGAGATACAAGTGATCTACATAGCTAACTCCCTCATGAACACACTATGTATCACTTCCTGTACTACTTGAGAAACACACTTACCAAAGCTTATATTCTTACAAATACTTTCTCTCATCCTTTCTTCTTCACACTCCTTGTGCAGTTCCAACTCTCTCTCACGTCCAAAATACCTCCTTTATAGAGGAGACATCCTCAAATCTAGTTCACAAGAAGACAAAAAGGAGAGGCTCCTCCTTGTGGTCCCAAAAGCAACATGTAACTATAGTCAAGTTACTTTAACTATAGTTCTTCTTTGCTTAGCCCATGTTTGACTTGATTAAACTTGCTTATCAAGTTTTTACTTCACAATATATTACAACAAGAAACAAAAACACATCATACATATAATATTATTATACAATTTACGGTGGTTCGCACAAGATCGAGTAATAAAAACAAAATGAAAAGCTCTCACATGTAAACATTAATTCCTTTCGAGAGCAAGTACCTAAAATCTTTCTCATTAATTTCACCTATTAAAACAAAGCATGATAAAGCGACTATCTTTGGATGACTAACCACTATGGTAAACCCACATCTTCGATCTTTGTCTTGATGGCTCAAAGTGACAATTGTAACTTCAGCTTCCCATTCCCATTCTTACTTTGTTGCCTCATAGTGTTTTCCTTTTGTGGTTTGTGTTTCTGTTGTATGGTGTTTTCCTTTTGAAAGATGATTCATTGTATTGTTACTATCTCAGGAATGGGAAGTTGTGGAGACAATTGACTTAATGCTTTACCTGAAGAAGGCGAGGGCTCTGGGTCCTGTGAAGGTGGTAGACCTCATGAAGGAAGTGATATCCGTGAATCCACGTATTGAGTTGGCTCGATTATCTTGACAATGCACTGAACTTGTACAGAATGAGAATTCGAGAGTGGTTTGGATGGAATTTTCCAGAGCTTGCTAGTATTGTATAAGATCATGTCCTATATGCCAAATATGTGAAACTGATGGAAAAACAGTCTTATGCTAAAGACAAAGACTGTTAGACATCAAGGCCGAGCTAAGGTAACATTATTGGACATCAAGGCCGAGCTAAGGTAATGGCTCTTTCTTCTTGCTGGTATTGGGTCAATTTCTTCCTCCCACTTATGATGTTTTTGTTTCTGGTCCAGCTTGAAGTGTGGTTGAGAGATGTTGAGAGGAGAGCACCTATAGTGGTTGAACTAGTTGTAGTGGTTGACTAGAGACTGAAGTTAAAGAGGTTGCAAAGGAGGAGAAGAAAGAT